GTAAACGGAGCTTGATAAATAAAAACAACAAACTATCTGTTATCGTAGTTCGACCCCAACACATGTCTGAATCGCATCTACGACTAATACTTGATGAGCGTCTCAAACCCTATAGACCGCACTCATAACTGACACGAATATCCAACAACGCTACACACCACAGCACAACTACGGAAACACCTGTTTTCGAAGACATGCCGGTTTGCAAATGAAAAGCTACGATTATCGAATAATGAAGTCAACCACAAAATGGTTCCAAGGGTAATCCAGCCCTCAACAGTTCATAAACATCTTTACTGAACATGATCTCTTAAAAACAATCGCAACGATTGAGGCCTTACTAGCAGTTACGGATGGTTCAACGCGAAAACATTACATATTATCTTTTACCTCATATCAAGGTCTGTCCTCCATAGATACTAATAACGTCATAGGTCTTTTGAGTATATTGGATTTCGTTAGCGCGGCCACCATAGCTTACCCCGGTTAACGTATTATTTCTTAAGGATTGATGTGCATTCCTGTCCAGTGTCTAAAAGAAGACTTATGTGTGAATCAAAACTTTCTGCATAGCATTCTCAGCTTATAATTCTGTTGTAGAACTATGGTCTACTTCGTTATTAGTATTGCTCTAATAATATACCTAGTACTAATATTGTAAATTTGTTATGATGTAACTATCTAATCAATAAGATCATATTTGGAGGTCACATAATTGTCTACACTAACTCATCTTATCGTACCAATCACCAATATATGGTGAGGAACGCCTTTAGGCTGGGGGTTGAACAATATTTGTGATATAAACCAAAGGTATAGGCTTCACGAGAATGATCACGCCTGCAAGACCGAGCTATGCCATTCGATGAACTCAATTAATTGAATTCATTCTTCTCGCCTTCTCTATCGTTGGGTTTTCTCCGCGCTAAATGTTGAATACCTATTTTACCGGTTGTCTCATGTTCAGCTTTGAGGATTGTGGGTTTAGAACCCAATGCCACTACAGTTTAACACTGTCAATATAATATTGTCAGAGGTTCTTTCATCTAATCCGTTCATACCGCTGGATGAACAAATCTTGTTTTACAATGGAAATTTCCAGAAATTCAGTGATGAAATATAAAAAGTCCTCAACTTCCTATGTGTATACATTGATAACTGTTTTACTCCAAGTTGAGACAAAGAAATACACATTAAGTGGTTGAGGTAGTCGGTAAGAAACTGTGAATGAACTATATTTCTTGCCAGTTCGCACATTTGATAAGATATAACAGAAAACTTGAGGCGAATGACGCTTGTTGAGAGATTTTAATCCGTGGCAATGAGCTTTACACTCCGGTATGATCCTCTCAACTACCTCTAACAACCTAAAATCTCCTTACTGTCCATTTTTAGTCTAACAACTTAGACTAGTGAATACATTAAAACTGATCGACAAAATTCAACCAAAACTAAAGGGTTTGAACCAATATGATAATAGTAACTATTCAGTGTTCAAACACATCTACAACCCATGGAAGTGTTGAGCCTTAAATGTTCCTCTGACTGTCTCCCAAACAGAAAAGGGTATCAGCCACTTCATATAACCCAAAATGAAACAGAATTTTTAATATACAAATCAGTTATTTTTCATAGTGCCAAGGATGGTGAAATCTCAGAGAGCAGAACTCGTTTCGAATATGGCAGAGAGCTGACAAAAGAGCTGCCAAACCAGCTAATGTTTCAGGGCATCTCCAAGGTCACAATACCAAAGGATTATGGACTGTTTAGCCAGATAAACATGAAACGAAATCAAACTAGACTTCTGAAAGTAGTATTTAAATCTCCCAATAAAAATGACTACAGGATGGACGTAAACTAAAGGGGTCAGGTTTCTGCCCGTAAAGAAATACCTTTCACGGACCGTATAAAAAGACTAGAAACTGAAAACGAACCAAAACTGTGGTGTTTGAATTAACCGATGATTCTTTTGTACCGGTTGAATGTTTGATTTTGAATTCTAAACACAATACATTTGTTTGTGCTCATCTAGTACTTATTGATTCAATTGCGTTATCTCGGAGATTCTTAGTTCATACTCTAATTCAAATAATTCGAAATACCAAACTGGCGTCGCGATGGAGCCTGTGATAGAATCGTTGGATATACATTCAGATTTTGGTGCTTTTGAGGATTATTTTGAAAGGTTAGAAATCTGGGCTATGACCAAGGACGATGGTGAGAATGTTAATATTGTGGCACATTTCCTCACATTCATCGGAAAAGAAGCATATAGCTTATTAAGAACTCTGTTTATGCCGGAAAAGCCTATCTCGCTTCCTTATGCAACTCTCAATGAACTGCTGCTAGACTATGTTAAGCATACAAATTTCGAACGCAATAAAGGAAGATTTTGTAAAGTGATTCATGAGGATATATAAAATTCTACTACATCACCACGTCATCCCAACCCAGTGCATACTCAAGGTCATGCAGATAATTCATTGAGTCTGGATGCAGTTCACGAGGATGGGCGCAATTCTGGTCAATGTTTGTCCTGTGGCATATTCCACTCTTTTAATTCTTAATTTCGTAATTCTAAGTGCTTTAAATGTGGTGATATTAGACATATTCGGTCAGTCTGTAATACTAATATTCATCTCGTTGCAACGAATATTAAGTCTTGTAATTCTGATTCTACTGAGTCGAGTATTCATAATGATCACGGACCGTATAAAAAGACTAGAAACTGAAAACGAACCAAAACTGTGGTGTTTGAATTAACCGATGATTCTTTTGTACCGGTTGAATGTTTGATTTTGAATTCTAAATACAATACTTTCGTTTGTGCTCATCTAGTACTTCTTGATTCAATTGCGTTATTTCGGGGATCCTTAGTTCATACCATAATTCAAATAATTCGAAACATTAAAAAAACTTGGGTTAGGTGTCAGCGAAAAGGACCCAAAATTGGTAAATTTTCGTGTGATGAGGCTTCAACATCACTCTCTGTTGAAGCCACTCCGGGTGCAGCACGAGGTCATCTAAATGTGCTTCGAATTGGTAACACGGACAAATAACACTACTGGACAACTCCGAGGAGTCTGATAAACTCCCACCGCAGTTCAATAAAAGTGTCCGAACACTTCTGCGTAAAAAGGAGAAGAATGTGAGAGAGATTTAGTTAAGTGGGTTTCGATTTCGGGAAGCTCGGAATGTTTGTGTCCAGTAGATTGTACGAAGAAAAACTTGTCAAGGGATCTATAGAATACCCTAAACGCTCATATATATGCATCAAAACAAAATTACTAAGGGAAGAGGAAATATTACAGCATTATGGGGAAATAATGGTACTTCACCAGTTCTGGAGGACGACTATGGTAATGCTCAGTTATTCTGAAACTACTTCAGCAATGCATATACCATAGAGACACCCTCCCTCAGTTCATACACCCCCCACACATACTGGACACTGTGACCGTTAAGGAACACGATTCCTCTGACCTGATAAATAAGATCGATACAGAAAAATCCATGGGACTCGATTAAATGTATCACAGGCTTCTAAAGGAACTAACAACTGTTTCCGTGAATCCCTTAAGCATATGTTTTAATTTATTTATATCCCAAGGTCGATTAGCGAAAGACTGTAAGAACGCCATAGTAATCCTGTATTCAAAACAGGTACGAAACATAAACTTGAGAACTATCGACCGTTATCTCAATCAGCGTGGTTGTTAAAATTTTAGAAGATATTATTCTGAATGAACTGTTCACGAATCTCGATGAGAACGGGACTCATTCTGAAAAACAGCATGGCTTCAGAACAGGTTATTCCTGTCTCACTAACCTATTGGTAACGTGCAAAAGTTAGTGCACTCTTAAAGACCAAAAGTGACCTATAGACGTAGCTTACACTGACTTCAAGAAAACGTTTGACAAACTTGCTGCTATATAAGTTAAGTACTGTGGGGATTAGGAGCATATTATCAATGTGGACAAAAAATCTCCTAGTTAGACGCCAACGAAAAGTATGACTGAACTCAAAGTTTCTAGCCGAAAAACTGTGCATAGCGTAGTGCCTCAGGGTACAGTTTTGGGATCAGTGTTATTCCTCTTGCAAATGAATGATCTTCCTCATCTCATATCGTCACCGATTTTCTTATATGCCGACGATGTCAAGAAATAGAGAGCGATAGGAAGTAAAGGCAATAGCTTAGTACTCCAAAATAACCTGGAGAAATTATCTGGTCTCACACTTCGCAGTTGCCGAATAATGCTTCTATGTGCGTTGCAACGCATATTGGTCATCAAGGTACAGATACATACACACTGAATTACATTGAGCTACTTGTTGTTCAGACACACAATGACACACATCTTTATCCAACACCTAAAAACTACGGTACAGTGCAATGAGATAGTGGCCAAAAGCTTTAGAACCCTGAATTCAATGCGTAGAGCCTTTAGCCATGTCGATGCTGAAAACTTTTGACGTTTTTGTACAGTACTCGTGCGTCCTAGGCTCTAGTACTGCATACAAGGGACTAGCCCTGCTTAAAAAAAGAGCTTTCGGAGAAGGTCCAGAGGACCGCAACTAAGCTGATTCCCGGAATGGCAAGGCTCTCGTGTGATGTTCTACTGGCTAAACCAAACCTATTTTCATCGTCACACTGAAGAACCAGAGTTTCCGAATTATTTAGTGATAAATTTGCATCTGATATCCCTCACTTTCCTAGTCTCCCAAACCACAGGATTTACGAGGAAAGTCGAAAAACTTTCACCAGCCCAAAACAAATTACTTGTCAGACGACTATCGACTTTCTTGTCGAATCATCAACAAATAGAATACATTACCTCAATATGTGACTGAAGCTCCATAAGGAAGTTGGATCATCTGAGAGACCATAATTTCCGGGACTAACACAGGCCACCTTGCTTCCTGCCCTTTCCAAAATGAAATAGAAGTACGCTACATTTGCTCGTTTGATGTGCATAAAGTTTCTTGTGCGTTACAAATTCACGGACTGAAGATCGAAATTGTTGCCAAGGTTGGCGCGTATGTCGAGGTACTACGCTCCAGTTATTTTTTGAAGGGATAGTATCAGGTAAGTCCTAGATGCTGTGCCTTTGGATGGTTTTCTAGGCTCTTTAACTTATTTGAAATCTAATCAAGTAATTTTATTTTCTGAAATGCGTTGTACAGTAGCGATTTTACATACTAAATCATGCTACAGTATTTATACTATAGTTTTTATAAAAACTTCCCCGCTCGCTTCGATTATCATGACTGCTTTATCAGATGCTAAAAATGTGTTTTTATTGATAAAATTTCCCTATGGAGATTCGCACATTTACACGTAGTCAATTTCCTTCATCTGCTTGGCTATTTTTAATTAACTGGGTTTACGAAACTACTATAGTAGCTTCGTGGTGTAGTACTACACCCTCCTGGGTTAATATGTTTATAACTGCACGTCAATTCATATATTATTTAAAGTTTTGTGATAAGTTTGTTAGGTCGTCTTCATTTTGCCGGATTACTGCTTAATTCTATGCTACCTAGACACTGACCCTTGAAAATAGATATACGAATAGACATCGTTATGTCAGTCGATCCGAACAGCTGTTTTTCAGGCCTTCATTTATCATTTCTATACAACTGAATCAGCTTTCAAGAGTGGAAGTCCTTTTCTACTCTCAATAAAGCATGAGCTCGTACCCAAGTAATTCAGAAATAAATCTCCGATCTTGGCCTGACTGTTGTCGTAACCGGTTGTCATGACTTTCTAATCAATCACAGACGATTACTTCCCAATTTAGCTTCAATGAGCCCTTTGTCACAGTAATAATTGATCTGTACATTTTTTTTACCGTCAATATACTACAGTTGGCAAGTCAAGGTTTCCCATTCGTCATAAAAATAGCCTTATTCAGTATTGCAATTTTAGGTATAAAAATAGTCAGATCTTCGACAGCGACAGACAATTCAGTTTTACAACAACCCAAGGGACATATACCATGAAGAATCACCAAAATATTTATGAGGGTATTTGTTTGATGGTCAGGGCATTTGGTCTTTAGATTTTGGACTCGAAACCCGACTAACTACTCACCAATAAAACAGATTATATCTTACACCCTCACAACAATGTCACTTATGTACCGAGTGAAACCTGGCACTTTTATATCGGCTCAGTTTTCCCACCACATCACCACAGAGCGATAAAATCATGAAGACAAATCCTAGGGTAGTAGGAAAGAATCGGCATAAGTAATATAAAAAAAATGAGTCCATGGGGAAAAGTGTGAAATAATTTTGAAACTTGGGATCCAAGGAAAGACAAAGAGTGGTCGATTCTAAGTTGTATCACCCAATGTCTCCAGATTATAGTTATGATAGTTACGTGGTCCCTAAGTGTTCTGCACATGATTTTACGCCTCAGCACAGTTGTCAGTGACTTCATGAAGTGACGCCACGTCTTGGTTAGTCCATACCTATCTCCCAACGTACTTCCTCACTGGCTAACACTGCTTATCAAGGTAGGCGGTGGCTAAATACACGTAGGATGTCCTAATCACCTCAGTCAATGAAAGTTCACTACTGTTTTACCATCTTTGCCCAGCATTCCTCACTTGTTTGTTACAACATGAATGGAAAGTGCTTTGGAAGCACCTATGATTAAGTGTTGGCAACCTACAACTATCCTCTATTGTTACAATGTTACTCAAAATAATACATAATCCTGTACTTGTACACCAAGTTGAGTCAAAAAATATCGGGTGTTGAAATTAGGAATCTTCGCAAAAATAATGTTTTATGCTTTTTGAAACACGTTTTTACAACATGTAGCTTTGTAAACCATTGTAAATAAATGATCCATGTCACACAAAGCCCTCGAAACCCTGATCGCGGTTATCACACAGACCTTAACCAGGCAATCTGCACCTACTAACAGGGCTCAAACCCACAGTTTGACTGCAAGAACTGATACCGTGCCTTGATTTTTCCCTTATATTTCTTCCAACCAACTCCCAAATCAGCAAACATTGTTATCATGAATGAGAAAAATTTCTAATTTATTATTCATTCCAATCATATTGTCATATGTACCGAACTTGACATAACTTTCAATATACCTGTATGAGTAACATTATATATTCAAATTCTACCTAAAAATTAGTATTTTGATTGGGATGTATAGTAACTTCAACCTCAAACGTGACGGTCAAACGCCTGTTTGATTCATTTTTGCATTGGCTGTTTGAGTCTCCCCATGGATGTTCAGGACTGTAAGTGATCGCCCCCGAATGCCCTGGTACGGCCGAGAGTGGGGAGAGTCCGCTCTCCCTCTCGAAATACTCTCACACGGCCACGCGTATACAGCCTCTGCCAGGGAAGTCCTACTCATTGCCTTCTCGTGGCGGGGGTGTTGTTTACGAAAATGAGAGGACGAAAAGCGAATGTCCGGCGCTTTAACCGGATTCCAAACCAATGGTGCACATGGGCTCCAGTATCCTGCGGGAACGAATGGCGTATGAACCAATCGTTGGTCACCGGCTACCATGGGACTGCATCTCCTTACGATGCTCCACTGCCTTGTGGGTTAGACCTTTAGGTCAAAGGCTCGGGGAGTGGCCCCCTAAGATAACCACCTGCTTCGGTTTGGGCACCCGGGCAGTATCACAGCCCACACACAAATGATGAACTCTTATGTCTATGGAAATTACTTTCTCGCTTTGAAAAACAATCAATTGATTCAAATTATTATCATTACAATTATTGTCATTATTAATACTATTATTATTATTACTATTATTGTCATTATTATTATTATTATTATTATTATTATTATTTTCCACATTATTCACCCTCTTTTATACTTATACAGCGGCTCGTCTTTGGTGGAAATCCGACTGTATCTAAACGTTCTCGAGTCACTGTCCGGTTGAAAATTGTATGTTACCACCGAATACGAGGACTGAAGCAGTTTTTCTGAAACCACGTGCACCATTCAAACTGGCTGCCTTCAACGTTCGCACATTTATGCAGGTCGGACAACAGATAGGGCTGGCTATGTCTTTGGAAAGTCTTAATATCGATGTGTGTTGTCTATCCGAGACCCGTATTCAAGACTCTGGCGAAGTACTACAAATTCGATCTCCATCTGTCGCTTCGAAAAGCTTGTTTTACGTGCGCTTATCCGGGGACCCTGTGGCATCTTCGTCTGGTCTTGCTGGCGTTGGTGTCGCACTAAGCGCTAGAGCTGAGGCAGCACTAGTCGATTGGATCCCCATTAACAGTCGGTTATGTGCTGTTAGATTAGAAAGTTCCATCAAAGTGAGAAGAAATCGGCGTGAGAAACGATGTCTTTTCGTCATCTCCGCCTATGCCCCGACAGATTGCAGCCCGGATGCAATCAAGGATGAGTTTTACCACCAGTTATCAGTTCTTCTCCAGAAAGTGCGTTCGACAGATATTGTAGTACTAGCCGGAGACTTGAATGCTCAGGTCGGGCGTCTAGGCACAGAAGAGAGTCGTTTAGGTGGCCGATGGGGACTCGTTGGTCGCAGGTCAGATAACGGGGACCGTCTACTGCAACTTTGCACAGACCACAACCTGTTTCTGGCTAGCACTAACTTTCGGCACAGTCATCGCCGATGTGCCACCTGGCGTCCTCCCTCTGCATCTCAAGCCTGGACTCAGATTGATCACATCGCGATCAGCTACCGCTGGCGTGGTTGTGTAAAAGACTGCCGCTCCTTTTGGAGTACCTATCTGGACTCTGACCATGCCTTGGTCTGCGCCAATCTTGCCTTACTTTTCAGTGGACAACGAAGTGACCGCCATCAACGGATTGATGTTAGCAAGCTGGTTGCAACTTCTGTTGCAAGTAAGTATCGAACCGAGCTAGCCTCTAGGCTAGCTACCACTCCACCGAAAAGTATAGATGAGCATTGGTTGCAATTGCATGACGCCATGAAAATGGCGGGAACAGTCAGTTGTGGGTTTGCGAAACGTCCCGCTTTTAAGCACTGGGTTTCTTCTGGTTCCTTACAACTCATTGAAGCCCGTCGGTCTACTCCGGGTGACCGTGAGTTTGACCATAAACGAAGGATGTTACGTAAGGAAATTGGGCAAAGCTTGCGTAAGGACCGAGAAGCCTGGTGGTCGATGCGTGCTAATGAGCTGGAAGCAGCAGCTGCATCTGGTAACTACCGGAAGCTCTTCCAGCTCATCCGAGCCACTGGCAGCAAGAAGTCTGGTGTGAGTGAAACAATCTGCGAGGATGATGGGATGCCAATCACTAACATCCATCGACGTCTTGGACGATGGGCAGAATTTTTCGAAGGGCAGTTCAACTGGCCTGCTGCTCCGGCAACATCGGTCAGACTGTCCTGCCCTCCATGGCCGGTGACGACTGATCCACCAAATGAGGAGGAAGTCCGCAAGGAACTCCAACTCTTGAAGCGTTACAAATCACCTGGCCCAGATGACTTACCTCCGGCTCTTTTTAAAGATGGTGGTGACTTTTTGACTAAGGAATTGACGACGTTGTTTACAAAGGTTTGGGAACTAGAGAGTGTACCAACGTCATGGAATGAGTCGATAGTTGTCCCTATCTTTAAAAAGGGTTCACGTCGTTCCTGTAACAACTATCGGGGGATAAGTCTACTTCCGATTGCGTCCAAGCTATTGGCTTCCGTCATACTTCGTAGGTTGTTCAAAACCCGAGAAAGATTGACTCGCGAGGAGCAGGCTGGGTTTCGTTCTGGTCGAGGATGTATTGATCATATCTTCACCCTCCGCCAAATGTTAGAACACCGCCATACTTATCAAAGGCCAACAATCGTAGTGTTTCTTGACATCAGGGCTGCCTTCGATTCGTTGGACAGGACTGTTCTCTGGGATTGTCTATTGAAGAAGGGTGTGCCTGAGAAGTTTATTAACATCCTAAAAGCCCTATATAAAACACCTCAGGCAGAGTGAGGGCATACAACCACCTCTCTCCATTGTTCCATTCGAGCAGTGGGGTTAGGCAGGGTTGCCCAATCTCACCATTCCTCTTCAACTTTGCCATCGATGACATTCTGGAAACAGCTCTGATGAATGTAAGTAATGGTGGTGTGGATCTGTTGCCTGGAGAAAGACTTCTCGACCTTGAGTATGCGGACGATATTGTCTTACTGTGCGATAATGCCCAAGGCATGCAATCCGCACTTAATCAGTTGGCAATCAGTGTCCGTAGGTATGGTATGTGCTTTGCACCTTCGAAGTGCAAAGTACTTCTACAAGACTGGCAGGATTCTAATCCTGTACTCACCCTGGATGGTGAGCAGATAGACGTAGTCGAGAAGTTCGTGTATCTGGGTAGCTGCATAAGTGCTGGTGGGGGTGTGAGTGATGAGATCAATGCACGAATAGTGAAAGCCAGAGCGGCTTATGCCAATCTGGGCCACCTTTGGCGCCTTCGTGATGTTAGTCTGGCTGTAAAAGGTCGGATCTACAACGCGTCGGTGAGAGCAGTTTTGCTCTATGCTTGTGAAACCTGGCCTCTCCGAGTTGAGGACGTTAGACGACTCTCTGTGTTCGATCATCGCTGTCTCCGAAGGATTGCTGACATTCAGTGGCAACACCATGTCAGTAATGCAGAGGTTCGGCATCGTGTGTTCGGGCACAGAGATGATAATTCAATTGGTGTCACCATCTTGAAACACCGACTTCGGTGGCTTGGACATGTTCTCCGAATGTCGTCCCAGAGAATTCCACGTCGTGCATTATTTGCCGACTCTGGGACTGGTTGGAAGAAGCGGAGAGGTGGTCAGTGCATGACATGGTGTCGTGGCATGAAAGAAAGCTGCAAAGGACTGGCTTGTGTTGGTCCTTCACGACTCCCTGGTTGGGGTCTGAGAGATGGTGCTACACAGTGGCTAGAGACGTTATCAGATATGGCTCAGAATAGAAGCCAGTGGCGATCCTGCTGTAACCTTCTTTTACTTTCTTCATAAAAAGTGGTTGTGTCTCCTTACCTGAAAGATTTCTTCTGATTGTACCTTTCCGTTCCCTCGTTACTACCACACTACCTTACACCAATCTCTTCGTTATTGTTCTCTTTTTTTTGCCCTCCTTAGTTTTTTTTCTATTTCTCTTCGAATTCTCATTGTTTTGTGTGGCGCATATATATTGGCGCTCTCTTGTACCAATATTTATGTGTTCAAATAAATAAATAAATAACTGTAAGTGATTAGTATTATATTGGCGTATGTGCATACTGTGCAGATTGCATCGATATTGCCTAAAGGTACAAGAATTATAAGCAGAGATAGATGTTGGCTAGCAGTGGAATTCAGGACGCGCGTCTCGTTCTATTTGGGACTCGCCAGCTGGGTTTGAGTCACAGGGTGAACATCAAGTCTGGGATGCAGGTACACCCAGCTGATGAGTTCTAAATGGAACGAAACATGCGTCCTGGATTCCACTGCTAGCCACCATCCATCTCTTTATTTGTTTATGTTACAGTGAAGTTAGCGATTGTATCGACAGCAGATTTAATCACAAATCTTCAAATAGCACTTCATCGAACCTTTCATACAATCTAAATTTGAACTCTGAAGTGCAAATGAAATTCATCAACGGTTTCTCATTATTTTTAATGAAAATGTTCAGGTAGTTTCGTCATTTTTTGAACTAGTTTTTTTCACATCCAAATGTCATAGAGACACATTAAACTCAATTCACATCTTTTTGTGTAAAATATCCGGAATTTCCTCTACGTGGTATGAATAGTTTCCTTAAAATTTTTAAAAAAATAAGATGTATGATTTACAACAATATGTGTAAAGTTCGGACACGACATGGCTAAATAGATAATGTAATTGTTTCCTCGAAAAAGACAACAAGTCATATTTTCTTAATTTTGTTCATTTTTCTCTATTTCCGAAAAAGATATTCTTGGCAGATGTAATAACCCAGACTTTTCTCCCTCTCTCCATTCAGATTACTTGATCGTGCTTCTGTCAGTACACCCGAACTACCTTCCATCAGTCGACAATACTTTAAGAACTCCAAAGGTTTTTTCACCTACTACCACTGATGCCGTCGTCTAGGACAGCTAGGATAAAGCGAAATTCCGTACCGGATAGGTGCACAATCATCAAGTGTATGAGGAAAACAATCTTCACTTTTGTTTTCTTATTGATCGTAAGTTTCCTACTTATTTTTTGACTATTACCTCAGGGTCTTTCAACAGGACTCATAGGACCAAGTATTCTATATCTGGAAAAGTTAGCTGGCTCACGAGAGGATGAAACAGCTCTTGTTTTTACGTCGAAGGCCGTTGGGTGTATTGGTGGATGGATAGTTAGCTGTTTATTACTGGATTCAGAAGGTTCTACTAAACCAAATGATTTATTAAGTGTTGGACTTTTCGGCCTAGTGATATCCAATGGTCTTATTATTTTCGTTAAACATCTTTGGTGGATGCTGGCAGTTTTTTTTCTTCAAGGTTTATTTGTAACAATTTCTTTGCAAGGTAACAAAAATATATGTACGAACCTTTTTTTCGGCTGACATTTTATCTTAGCTTAATAATCATTACATCCTATCTACAATTGAAACTAAGGGTATATTTGAAAAGTTTCTAAAAATGTATTTAAATGGTTATAGCAGTGCTAGAAAACAATTGATAATAATTACTTTCTAGTTATCTGGAATAGCAGATATACAAGTAAGATATGATCGAATATTTTTCTAATAGTTTATACTCCTCTGAAATGTTAGTTTTAAAGTAGGATCAAATCGTAGTTCTTTCATTTAATCTCACTTAGCCGATGTACTGCACCAATACAGTTCACCCTTCAACTTTTCCAGCAGATGTAGACATGTTCAAGAGCAAAACAAACCTTATTCACTGGTTCCCGGCACCGACGATTCAATTTAGCATATGACTATTATTGTACTTTGTTGACTGGTGAAAGCCTATGACTTTCAATCACCGGTGTATGAGTTATGACCCTCGTTCTTCTGTTCCAATATAGACGGTCAACTAGTGCCAATGGTTGTCCCATAAAACTTGTGACTCAAAGTTTAAGTTGCAAGCCCAAAATTGGTCTTTGTGTCGGCGTTTCGTCAAAGTATCTCATAGCCTAGCTCGCCATACGAGGACTGAAATAATGTCAGGATCCGGAGGCACTTAGGATCATCACCTTGGATGTAGCATAGACTCCATAAATTGCGCAGAGAAATATATCCTCAGAATTTCTACAATCAAAAACTTAAAATGATTAAATTAGTAATTTTTTTTAAATTTATTGAGAAAACCTAACATGAAAAAGGCGGTTTAATCGATACTCATAATCGTGAATTTAATGATTACACAATGACCTTCGAATATCAGTTTGTGCTGATTAGTTGCACTTTGTGTAATTTTTTTGAAGTTTTTGTTCACTTTATACTTGTGTTTGTAAAAATAGGATGTAAAATGCAATTATCATTGCTTTATTAGTTATCCAGTATTTTTAATTGCCATTCATTTTGGGAACTGATTTTCATTAAATTAAGTCTTGTGAGCAGTGTATTACTTCTCATTATCAATCAATTAACATTCTGTTCTTCATCTTGACATTTCATTCGTGTTTCTGATCATTCAAAATTTGTAACCCGTAGTAGTAAAACTAACTCAAAAGATGCCGTTTATCCTGTCACTGTGGGAAAATAAGTGACTGACCCAATATCAAAGTGAGTGACTAAAACATTCACGAAGCCACATAGTGAAATAATTTACCTCTAAACATTAGATAGATTGCAGTCATCAAACTCATAGTTGCTTCTGAAATGGCTATTGTTATATCCGAGCGAAGATTAAATCACGAGTAACTTCTCAGACATATTAGTTAACTAATATTATCTATACATTCTTATGGTATAACTATTCAACAATTAGATTATGTATATTTATATTCCTCTTATTATAAGCTTTATTTTGAGCTATAATTTATTATTATACAACTTAATGTTCGTAAGCTATGTTCAGTTTATTGACTACTGCCTCCCACGTTCACAGTCACTTTTTGGCTTTGTTGTGTATAAATGTTATTTCCTATTTTATAGTGCGTTGCAGTTTGCTTAGTTGATATATAAACCCAGTATGTCTGAAATAAATGATTCAATTCGATTCGATTCGCATAGTGGGAGCTGGTATTGGTGTTCTGGACTCAAGTGGACGGGCTAGGCGGACATATGACCAATAAGGACGCTAGGCTGCTCATACCGGTCGAACGTCATTGGTTTGGCACAGTGCTAAGACTGTATAAGTCGTATTTTGATTGGTGAATAAATCACGTGATAACTAGCCGGACATAAAGTCACAACTATCTAATTTGACGTTACCTAAATATGTTGTAATTGTGTATTTGATAAAAGCTACACCTTCAATGAATTAATCTATTAAAATAGCGACTGTGGAATGTAAAAATCTTCCTTATAAGTAATTTAAAACTAAGTTTTGAAACCTTTTTGTTTTGTAATTTATCATTTTTCAGGATGTGTTTATCATCGTGAGAACGTAAAACACCGGCTCCACATTGTGCCACAATATTTAACAAGTGTTTTCTTATTGGGTTGTGTATTTACTCCATATTTTATTTTATTTATTGAGCCAAATCTAAATGCCATTACATCATTAGATGTTCATCCCAGTACTACACTGAATGAACCACAGCATTCACATGATCATAACTTCATTTCAAACGTATCTAATGTAATTCCCATTAAGTTTGTTGAGAGTAGCAGTAATCGCATTAGTAAACACAATGAAATTTCTCCACTTATTCGTATCCCTCGACAAATTTCAGTTAGTACCCCACTACTGAATAAATCTAATTTTGGTCTCCAAACAACACCTCAAACCACTATGGACATTAATCATAATAAAATATCTACTGATAAATCTCACAATTTAAATCTAATCATACCTAATTTTACGTCAACAAACGAAATCAATATAAATGAAACATCACATAACATTACAGTGAACTCTTCTTCGGTTACTATCAAACCTACAATCAAGAAAAAGCCGTCAGTCAATGATGCCAAACATTTAAACCAAGATAGTTCATCTGCGGATGGTAGTAAAGCAGCGTCTAAAATGAAGAAACTTACTGAAGAGCGTCAAATTGAGGAATTAGACGATGATCCATCTACTCATAAACCACTGACCTCTGTCGTTAATCCAAATAAACTTCAAAATCCTGTAGTCCAAAACCAGTCTACTATTACCACTACTAATATGTTAATGAACATTACGAATTTAAATTCTACCAAACAATCGAATAATAATGATGCTATCTCTAAAATTTCTACAAATTCTTCCTCTAGCCATCTTTCACTTCACTTGAACAATGTTTCAACAGGATTTCCACATGACTCTAAAATTGTTAAAGATCATAAATCTAATGAAATTTTCATTAATAATATGAATTCAACAAAAAATATTTACATATCTAATGCCTCTAAACCAATAACTAAGAATAAAGTAATACTTGGCATGTATAACATTACCGATGAAATTGGGTTAATAACTAATAACTCTTCTACTCAATTCACATTCAGTAAATTTCCACCTGTATTACAGTCAAACGATATTATTGTAGTTATCAATTCAACAAATCATAAATATCATCATCATCGTATTGCTGAACACTCGTTAGATAAATCTCATCATAATCTGTTACCGTTTCAACATCCAGTAGAATCAGTTCAGAAAGTTTATCTACTACTAAGTATTATTTCAATGATACTTTGGCTGTTGACAATTCCATTAACAAGTTGGTGTGAATCGATATTTATTCGTTACTTTGATCTTCAGATCATAGATGATAATAATTTCGAGCTTATTTCCGCTGGCAAACTCTCGTCACCAAGTGTGATGCAACGATCAGATACTGATAGTAATGAAAATCATTCTGAAGAAGGTCTCAAATCAAGATTACTTGGAGGATCAGGTAGGCTAGAAGATTACACTTAGATATTTGTGAAATGACTATCAGATCATAACTGTTAACCTGATTTTTTATGTTAATACTGACTAAAATTTGATAGTGATATCTCGATTTTACTACCACCGCATATATATATTCTAAGTGGTTCAATTCACTGTAAGTTGCAAAGTTTTGTGACTGTTAAGTTTTTGAAAGCAGATATGAACTAAAATGGATTGGGTGTACTACGTATATCAAACTATTCATTATCTTGAAATGTAGAAAAACAGCCAGGAGGGATTTAACGTGTTTTCTACTTTAGAAACTGCAGTTTATTCATGCTTACGATATCAAAGATAGCTAGTAAAGATTTACGTCTATGCTCACCAAAACATGGTATCTGTTCATTAACTGTTGGTTTGAGTCATGTTGATAAACTCAGATCATCTGTTTGGTGCCCGTACAATAACCGCGATCAGCAGTTAGTGACTTTCAGTTATGTTGCTTGTATTCGGTCACAATAGTCTAGGAATATTCACTTCTTGTCATACTGTAGATCCTGAATTCAAGTATTTCTTCATATATACCGTTTTCATTCCTTCTTCTCAAACCATATTCTCAATTTTTAGTCTATCTCATTATCATTTTCACTACAGTACTCTAATTCCTTTATTCTGTTAGTTTTTTCTTACCATACCAATATGGTGTGGCGATCCGAGGTGACTCAAGTTATTACCAGGCTCTTTGTTAATTACAACTGACTGAGTCATTTTCCAGAAGACACTGCAGTGTTTTGGTTGTGAGATATACGACTAATATCCATATAATTATCCTGATAATAATCACCATTGAATATTATACCTTTTTTATTTTTACATAAGATGAAGACGATAGTGAGTCGGATTCAGTTGAACTATGGAATCGAAGTCATTTTATTGATAACAACGAAGAGCTAGTCTGTCATTCTGATTCTGAATTGAATGATGATGGTGTTGTTCTGAAAAATTCCTTAATTAAATCATCTTCAGGAAATAATCTTTCTGGTTATTCAGTGTCTAAATCGATGACAGTATTAAATCCTAATGTTGTTGATGATATTACCTCCTCTATGACTGATTATTCTGTATTTGAAACTCATTGGCCAAGAATTCAATGGCCATCAAATTTTTGGCTGTTATTATCTATATTTCTAAATAGTGGTTTGGAGACAACATATGCTGGCTTTGTTGCTAGTCTCACTATCCGTTATCTTCTTTGGTCTCCAGTAAGTATTTATGTTATTCATATAACTATTTATATAACTATTATTTTGTATGAAATACACTTGTTATTGAGTTTCAAGTTTAATGGTATGTAGTTGGGTTAGACATTCACCATTTGAACTAGTGATTTATTATTTTGTAACCTTCCTTTCACTTCTCTCAGTTTAGACTATTTACTGAAAGTAAATCAATAATTTCTAATTCCTCATATGTCAAGTATGAATCAAAGTTCTGCTTACATGTACCTGTGTTGTTTGCTCATTGACATTCACGCTTTTTTATTTAATCTATTTAATGTTATTTCATGTGTGTCAACTCTCATTAACTTTCTGTCTTAAATTTTCATATTATATTGACAATTTGTCACATTAATATGGCTTAGCATAGGGATTAAAACACAAATTTTAAGTATAGATTAAATTCGTTGTTTTTATTCAATTAGAGGTTTTATACTATGAGCTGTAGTTTAATGATTAAATCGTTTGAATTTCAACCACCAACTTCTAGATCCCAACCCCTGTACACTTATTTCGGTTTGAGCGGTATCACTAGCCCTCAGATTTAAAATATGTATCGAGGCCCCCAAATGGTCTGAAAGCTTGTTGAATATCATTTGATTATATATACATGAGTATGCTATGGTCAACATTTTATAGATGTCGTCATTTATACTTTCACAAAATGATATAATGACCAAGAATTAAGCTTGTCAGTCAGATAATAACGTATTGACAACCGAGTAGCCTACAGAGCTATTTCATTTATTTTCTGTGAATAATTTGTTCACATAAATGTTATCTCATTGTATAAAAACTTGTTCTTCTGGTTAACGGTCATGGTCTTTCATTCATTTTAACAATTACAAACCTTATTCATTTACCAATCCCCCCTTCCGTAAGAGAAGAAAATTGTCATGACTACTAATTTTTAATTCCTTTTGAATTTGATTTAATCTCGAAAGTTCTCCTAAAACTATTCCTAAAGCATAAATCATTATTAATTGAACAGGATAACTATTGGAATTATTAATTATCTACTGGCAAACTAGTTAAGAACATACAATAAAGGCGAAATATTGGTTATTAAACGATAATCCAATTGGTAAGATAGGTTTGAACCCTACTCCATCTACTTTTGTTTGGAAAAATCGGATTATATCGCTAGCTTTCACATTTTTGAGTATGGCTTAAAGTCAAGTATACAAATCTGTACTTGTTTGATGTGTGGTTATAATTGGTTGTCATCTACAAATTATAATATGTAATGTAACTTATTACATTATCTGGTAAAGGTTTATATACTTGACATCTCTTAAATAAGTATATTTGTGGTGGTTGAATCATATTCGATTGTAGCTCTATGGTGTAAGCAAGCATTCAACTCAACCATCCTGATCACATAGCCGAAAAACTTTTAGCCCATATATAAACCCAATTAGTGAAACTCATTATTATGTATACACAATATGCACATAGTTACTGGGCTGCTGATATCTTTATTTTGTTAACAAAATGATTGTTCGTGTAACTTTATATCAAGTATCGGTACATTCAGTCCAATTTATTTATTTCTTTTAACAAGACATTAGCAATAATTGTGACCAGTTTGTTTTGGCTTGGTAATCTCGTTGGCTTTTTAGTTCGTTTATTGATAATCAATATAAAATGGCCAGATTTACGAGATACTTTACCCGGTATTTCAAACAGTCAGCTATTATCTAAGCGTATATATTCAACTAGAAAACATCGTCGTAATTATGCAAAGTAAGTTATTTTCATATAATTTTATACATTCATATTAAATTATAATTAGTGAATGGTAGTAGATAACGAAAAATGACCTAAATATTGCTTCCTAGAGTTTATTTTAAATGAATCCCGTTGGTGATGTGTAGGTAAGTAAGCATTCACAATTAAACACAACTGTGATGATACTCTTGGCATTCAGCTAGAAACAAACAGCTTGTGATGAATGCAGAGAAAATGGTGATACTTGATTCACACATTAAAGTTGTGATAAACAGTACCTATGTATTTAACCTCTCTTGTACTTTGTTCAGAGAAGTTAGATATGATTACCATTGGTCAAATTCATCCTAACACATACTTCTGATAGTTCACTGGTCTGTTATGATCTCCCTTTATATGACCCAGCTACTATTATTGGTTAATATTTTTGAACAATTTACTCCACTTAACTAGTGCCCAAATCAGAACAGGGTTGGACAGGAACGTAGTTATATCAAGGTGCAATTTAATGGTTATTGTTTTTTTTTACTAATGAATGTTCCGTAAATTCAATTTTATCTGCTTGTATTGGGGCTTTAGCAGTAGATATGTATAATACACACAAAATGGAAATGATTGTTTAGTTAGCTAATTCGTTTCTGTAATGTAGTTGAAAAAAGTGAAATGCAATCTAACGATTAGTTTTGTTTTCATCAAGAACGAATCCGTCTGGCCCTAAACATAGATTCTGGAATACATAAATCTTTTGAACTCCAGGTACTTCGTAAAACAAGCCTAATCACTTTCTATTATTATTATTATTATTATTATTATTATTATTATTATTATTATTATTATTGGATTGTGAGATTTTTAGCTCAAGTTAATGATTATGCTCCATGAGTTGGGTGGTTTAGTCTTAAAGCAATCACCACCTATCTCGACAACACCAGAAAAAACTTCAAATAAAAGTAAACTATCTGGAATCTCCCCTTTCCCATCCGAATAGCAGCTAGTTCTGGTGACCTTGAATTCGATTGACTGATGACATTTTTCCGGCCAGTATGTACATGTTTTCGATTCCAGACAATGCTAAGTGGTAACAACCAATCAGATGCAAGGTTAACAGGACAAACTAGCATTCGTATATGAGAAAAGATTTCAAATACCTCACTTGCATTTGAAGATGTTGTTGATGTCGCTATCTCGAAAGATGATGATATCTTCACAATTAGACAACTCAGCTAAGAGAACACAACTCCACCAAAAGTTTTATATGTGCCAAAGGTTTTCATTTTCCCGTTGCTAATATTCAAGATTAAATTTGACCAGTTTTTATTTGATGATAATATCAAAATTAACACTAACATATAGGTACATCTAACCGACTAGTTTGAAATAGAACAAAATAAGTGTTCTACATTTCACACTGCTAGCCTCCATTATCCAAATATTTAATAAACGTAATCATTTGTTTACTATTTTGTTTTTCCTTTTTTTAAATTCTGTCTCTAGGAATACAAAATCATCAATAATCATTACTATCATACAATTGTGTGGATGTTTTATTTGTGTAACTAGTTCTATTGCATTAACATATTTATCAATGTCAACTGGAAGATGTTCCACAACATCATCATCATCATCCCTATTAAACATGAATTCATTATCTCATCCTTATATAACATGGTTAATTGGTAGTTTTTGTTTTGGTATTGGTATTGGTTTATCATCTTCTTATACTGGTACATTAATGACTATACATTTAACTACAAATTTATTTTTTTCTAATTCATATCATATTCAATTAGCTACATTTTTTGGTCAATTATTAATGCCAGCATTAATTGCTATGCTTCATCATCAAGCATTATTTTGGCGATATTCATGTGTACATAGTATTAGTGTATTATGTTTAAGTATATTAATGAGTTGTTCATTAATTAGTCATTTTATCATTGAAACTATTGAAAATAAACGTAATAATTTATTGAAATCATCTAAAACTAATCGAAACAATAATCATGATACACATTTACAATATTCTAATGGGAAAATTACAATACCATAATTAGTTTATAAATTCTAATAGGGATAGGTAATGATTATCTTCAAGAAAACTGATGATAACTTCTAATATCGTTATTATTTTGTTTATTGCAAATGTCTTTCATCAAACTTGTCTTCATGTGGTTAATTGCTTTAACCTGTAATAGTTTATTGTAATTATATATGTTATTTGTATAATACTAATACTAACCCTCCTTCTTCTTCCTACTCCCCTTCCCCTCCTCTCTAGTCTGATAATAATGGTATTTTGTTCATTTGATTGCATTTTGTACTGTACCATTTGTATGTGTACTCACCTATATTTTTTTATTACCGCCTTATTTTCATAGGTTATCTGCAAGTTTGATCTGTTGTTATTTTAATATACTTCATTATGTCATACATTGAATCTATTTGGTTTAATACCTTATTTTGTTTATGATATTGAATTATAAATGCAAACAACACATTTTATCAATTGGTTTTTCCTTCAAATAGATAGAACTAATCCTCTGACGTATAGCTTCAGTTTATCGCTTTAAAAATTAGTAGTAATTTAATATAAATTATTCACTAAATACAGATTGATGTATTCCACTTTAAGTCGCTTTATTTGTGTTTGAAGGTCTATGGTACTACCTTAATCACACCTGTTATCCCTAGTGGAGCATTGGTCGCTAACTAGGAGTCTCCGAGCTACTCTGTTCTAGGTTCTCCTTTCCATCTATCGCCAAGTTCCATTGATTCTTTTGATGTCTGCCTCCAGTTTGTGACCCAACATGTTTTTTTCGTCGGCCTCTTTTCTTTTTCCCAATTTATGGCTTACTCTATGAAACAGTCTGATGATTTCCATTACTGAATTCCACTAACCACTATTCTGTGCAACGTTTATGAATTTGTAAGGGTACGTAAATGCCGACTAACACTCACAAACAATATCAACAACAGGGTAATTCAAATCCTTACAAATTAAGTTGAATTAATCCCTCGTTGAAATCTAGACATTATAAAGGAAAAAAACGGAGTTTAGCATAATGGTGTGCTATATGAGCGCTCTTTGATCACACTATAATTTCTGAAGATATTTATTTAAGGAATAAAACGTAAGAAGAACAATGAGAAGGAATTTAATTTTAAGCGTACCGGTCATGATATATCAGAAATAAAGTCAATAATACCAGGGTGTCTCGATGCAATTATGAAGTATTTTTGGAAAAAAAAAAGTAGGATAGTTATACATTTTCTCATAGGTAATTAAGATTCAACAGATCAGTGCATATGTACGTAACTACTTATCTACAATAATAGATAGGATGTTTTTAGATTGATTTAATAAGTTTTTCTAACATTTAACAGAAACAGATGGTTGTTTACCATATTCTTTTCCTGATGTTCGTACAGTGTTCCAATTATTCATTTATACGTGCAACCACTTTGGATCGAATATGATGCACATAATGAAATCGATGAACGAAGTGGGATGTAACTCAGTGATTAACATTGCGTTTAGGTTTTCAGTAGGAAATGAATTGCTTTTCCTATACCCTGACCGTGGTTACATGATAGGTTTTGTGGCTTTGAATATCTCACATAACATCATATTAATGAGATGTAATTAGAGTTCTCTTGATCTAAGTAGGATTCAAGTGTCCTCATCTTGATACAGTTGAATAGCTTAGTCTATCCTAACACCGGTTCTAATAACAGTTCTTACATTTCAAGCATAGTGCAACTATTATGTTAATTTCTTAAGAAACAAAGCACAATACTTTTTTACTATTATAAGAACTATAGTGAAGTTCATTTTGAAAACAAAAAATTGTGTTTCGTGTACACCTAGTTGTTTAACAGGCTTTGTCTTGACCGAATCAGACAATACTAAGAATGACTCATAACATTATTCCATCTATTTGTTGTTGTTTTAATTGGCTTCATCGTTTCTTGAAACATAATTATTTATCTCTTATTAAGCTTTATGGTAGAGCATAAATGGTTTTGGCCAATTCATTCACTGCCAATTTATTCACATACGTGGTAAGATGGACAAACTATAATTAAGACACACCTACTCAAGCGAATTCTAAAGTTAACTCAATTGACAGCAAAACACACCTAATTTTTAATCATTAAGTTAGCACAATATCATGCTAACTTTCTTACTATTGCTGTAATTCATTGGATCGATTAAGAAAGAAAAATGGTTTGAGAAAACAGATTTTTCCGAGTGAACAATTCATTGGTAATGACTGCCTTATTTTACTAATACTGCATAAATATTTTATTTGCGTTTCACTATAATATTGTAGTCGTACTGCTTAAACTCTTCAAAACAACTTGAATTTGGTCACAGTAATATAAATGAAATTATATTCCTCTCCAAATCTTGTATATTTTATTGTTTTGGATTTATCTGTTCATTTGCCATCTAGTTGTGGTGTCTGGTACGTATACAGACATATATGAGTAGTATGTATCAAGATTTGAAAGAACGATTCTTACTGACAGAAGAACAACATCAGGAGACGAGAAAGAAAAGCAGAAGTAGTCCGAGTAGCAACATGAATGAAAGAACGATGGAGCTTTCGAGAGACAATTCAAGGAAGATGTGTACATAATACTTTCAATGTATTGTGTTCATATTTTACAAATACAGTGTATGCTTTTGCTTAATACAACAATGGTTTACCTTACCCAGGTCTTCGTTCACTACACGATAAGACTTGTCTTTACTTTACCTGCTTATTTTATGGATTTCCGTTTGTTTTGATGGCTGTGTTAAGCATGATGAATTAGGACTACTACTGTATAAGATTCTGATATAATGGAATAGTAATTTCGTCCGATTGTAAGGCCTTGAATCTTTTGATTCATAGCCCACGACATCCAAATCAGTTACGCTTTACGTGCATTTCAATTGTGTTTATTTTAGGTGAAATATTTTGTAGATAAGTTTGTCGTTTTTTGATATAAAACGACTTGTTTTGCTAACCAGTTACTCAGTTTTCTGATATCCATTCATTGTGGGTTTGTGTTGATGGTCCGGATTTATGTGAATACCATCCCACGACCACAGTAATTTAGAATAATTGATCAATTGTCTCGTAATTTATTCCGTCATTTTGTTGACTATTACATATTTGAAAGTTTTCTGTTTTCCTTTCATATTAATTGTAGTTAAATCATAAATGTACCATCGTATTCATATTTAATGATCGTAAGTTATCGTGAATGTCATGAGTGATTTCATGCAGTTTTGTGGTTGTGTAGTACTGTGGAGTTCCTATCAGCCACCGGTGGAGGGGCTCGATAGAAGATTGTCGCTCATTCTGGAGCACATGCTTAGATTCAGATCATGCTCTAGTACGAGCGCGTATCTGTCTGCGTCTTACTGGACGTAGGAAAGACACTGCAAGGAAACCTCTTAGGGGCCTACTTAATAATAATAAAACTAAGAGTATATTTCAGGAACAACTTGAAAAACAGTTAGGCAGTCATGCATGTGATGCCCATCCCGAGGCAGGATGGAATGATATCCGAAAAGCTGTGGAAACAGCAGTGATATCTGCTAGTAGGGTAAACTACAAGGTTAGGGAGCAACACTGGATCTCAGCAGCATCTATCGCACTGATAGATGCTCGGAAACTCATTCCACCTGGCTCTGAACATAATGAAGAGCGGAGTCAGCTTAAGCGCAAGCTGACAAGAAGTCTACGCAATGATCGTGAACAGTGGTGGGTAGCGAAAGCAAGAGAGATGGAAAAGGTGGCGGCAATAGGTAATAGCAGACAATTGTTCAGACTCATTAGGGAAACCGGTATTAGGAATACGACTGTTAGCGAAACAATCTCAGAGAAAGATGGACATATTATACATTCTCAATCGAGGAGATTGAATCGATGGGCAGAACACTTTAGGGATCAGTTCAACTGGCCTTCAGCCACACTTCGGTTTCCCACGATCTCCAGTCAACCTGAGTGGCAAGTTAATTTAGGTCCTCCGACTCTTCAGGCGCCCCACAATCGTAGTGTTTCTCGACCTTAAAGCAGAATTCGACTCTGTTGATCATGAGGTTCTATGGCAGTGTTTGTCATTGAAAGGAGTACCAAAGAAGTACATTAACCTTGTGAAGGCTCTGTACTTGAACACAACTGGTCGAGTGAGAGCTTATGGTGAACTGTCATCAGGATTGATTACCTCAAGTGGCGTTCGTCAGGGCTGCCCACTCTCTCCATTCTTGTTTAACTTTGTCATTGACGTGCTTTTAGAGATAACACTTCCTCATCTAAATTTCAAGGGGTTGAACTTCTACCACGAGATTCACTTGTTGACTTGGAATATGCCGATGACATAGTTCTATTTGGTGAAGACGCTGACAAAATGCAGAGTCTTCTGACCACTCTAAGCAACAATGCAAGCACGTTCGATATGCGATTCTCTCCCTCGAAATGCAAAATGTTGCTTCAGGATTGGGTTGCATCGACACCTGAACTAATGATAGGGAGTGAAGTAGTTGAGCGTGTCGACCGCTTCACTTATTTTGGGAGTCTCATCAACCTTTGTGGTCTGGTGTGACGAAATCTCAGCACGGATACAGAAGGCTCGACTAGCTTTTGCCAACTTGCATCATTTATGGCGTAGGCGAGATATCCGTCTATCAATCAAAGGACGTGTTTACTGTGCAGCAGTTCGTTCTGTCCTACTTTATGGCAGTGAAACGTGGCCGGTAGGAATAGAGGATATTCGTAGGTTACTAGTATTTGATCATAGGTGTCTTCGAAATATTGCTCGTATATCGTGGGACCATCGAGTAAGTAATGCAGTTGTTAGGAAACGGGTACTAGGTAAGGATGGAAAATCGATTGATGAAGTGGTGAAACTTCATCAGTTGAGATGGCTGGGACACGTGTTACGTATGCCCAACTACCGTGCGATGTTCAGTAGTATAGGAGTAGGTTGGAAGAAAGCTAGGGGCGGTCAGACCAAAACATGGCACAAGTCCATGAAGTCATTGGCAAGTAGACTGAGTCATGTCGGTAGGTGTAGACTACCTGGTTGGGGACCGCGAGATGATAGCAACCGATGGTTAGAGACCCTGAATGACATGGCTCAAAATCGTTGGCAGTGACGCAGATGCATCCATTCTTTGTGTTCTCCCAAATTTTAATCTGAATTCTTCATGTCCCTTTCTTTTTTCTCTTTCCAAACTTATTTCACTGGATTATACTCCTTAAATAACATCTCCAAACCCTAATCTTCCTGATTACTGCTTATACTCTTACTACCTCTACCACCACGGTATTTGAATCGACAACTGCATCTCTGTGCTAATGTGGTGTGGCAACTCGAACTGATGTACGTACGTACGAAGTTCTACGTTGTTACTGACTGACTATGGAGTTCAAAATAGGACGAAAAACTATCTACTGTTACTAGGTAGCATTCGATAATTTATTCGTTAACTTATTCCAATTTGGGATGAAGAAACTACCTGAAGTTGTACACAGTCATTATGAACATATAGGTGTCAATTTATACACAATACAATCGACAGCTTGGATGCAACCAGACGATTTGAAATTCGCAGATGATCTAGCTTTTCTAACCTATACACACGAACAAGTGCGAGTCAAACCAACTACTGTAGTAGCAGTATCTGCACCAGTAGCACTGAACATACACAAGGGAAAAAGCAAGATCCTCAAATCAACACTGAAAGCAACAACCCAATCACACTTGATGGAGAAACTCTGGAAGAGATGGAAACTTTCACATATCTGAACAGCATCATCGATGAAAAAGAAGGGTCTGATGCAGATATGAGGGCGAGGATTGGCAAAGCAAGGACAGCATTTCTCAAGTTGAAGAACATATGGAACTCAAAACAACCGACAAACAATATCAAAGTTACAATCTTCAATATGAACGTCAAGACAGTTCTACTGTACAAAACTGAAACCTGGATAACAACCATACAACCATCATCAAGAACGTACTAATATTTATAAACAGTTGTTTACACAAGATACTGTCAGCAACAGCCTACTATAGGAGAGAACAAACCAGCCTCCAATCGAAGATGGATTTAGGAAAAGACTTTGGAGGTGGATAGGACATATACTTCGAAAATCACCAAACTGCATCACGAGGTAAGTGCCAACTTTGAATCCTGAAAGGAAACGAAAAAGAGGAAAGCTAAAGAACACACTACACCGAGAACTGAAAGCAGACATCAAATTGATCAATAGAAACTGGGAAGGATTGTTCAGGACATATTTGGATGAAGAATGCTGGTGGGCACCCTGTGCTTCTCCATGTTGGGTATCAGGCGCGTTTTTTTGTTTATACACAAACGAAAGCTCAGAGATATTATTCTCATTAGTCTGTATTAATAGAATTCGTTACTTTGATTAACCTTAGAAACTTCAAATATCTCAACATGTATAGCAACTGGTTTAAAAACTCATGGTGATCATTTTTAACACCAAAAACACAAAACTTTGAGCGTTTTCCATGTTATCAAGTCATTGAAATACCATGTGAATACATCTTAACTAGAATTCAAGCTGTCGAATCTTAATTCAGTTCAACAGCTAAGCTACATATGGTTTAATATAACAACTATAATGACTAGTTGTTCCCCCCCCCATCTGGTGTCTAAGTCATGCAATCAAGTAACCACTGATCATGCATTTATTATTTGTCATACCCTATACATTACGCAAATCATCAAAATGCATCACGAGGCAAGCCCTAACTTGGAATCCTGAAGGAAAGCGGAAAAGAGGAAGGTCAAAGAACACATTATGTCGGGAAATAGAATCAGATATGAAAAGGATGAATTACAACTGGAAATTATTGCCTAGGACAGGGTTGAATGGAGAATGCTAGTGAGCGGCCTATGCTCCTTCACGAGGAGTAACAGGCGTAAGTAAGTATACCCTATACTCACATTTACGTTGGCTAACATTTTGTAAATAAGTGTAGAAAAAAATCAATTTTAACCGATTATATTTTCAGAACTATTCATAAAAAAGTAGTTTGTTTATTAAGCAGAGTACAAGTAGGATAAAAGCGGATAAAGATCAATGATTCGAACTATTAATATAGATCATTTAAACTTTGTTTTGTAAAACGCTACTTATGTGAAATTGTGTTCAATTTTGTATTACTGGTCTTAAACAAAAATATATTTGAAGGTTGTTTGTGTTGAAGTATGAGATTCACCACCATAACATATTATACAGTGACTATTTAGACGTAAAAGTAGATTGACTTCGGAGTAATAGTTCACAGGTTGAAGCCTCGTTCATGTGCTTTGGCCGTTAGACATTACCTATAGATAAGTATTTTTATCGGACGTCATTTTCTTTAAAGATAATGAAGGATGGACGGTTTTCACAGCCTAATTAGGAGTATCAGTTGATGTATAACAAGTCAATGTTGAATGGGCTTTACAAAGATCATTTTGACCTTCAGGTAGTATTTTCCATGAAGTGACTTAAGTTGGTTTTCCATGGTCCCACACCTGAGGTTAAAAAACGTATTCAGTAACATTATGACCGTACTCACTAGTGACCTACTACAAGATGAGTTCCTGATGTCCTACTGTAAAATATCCGATGGAGTGGAGTCGAAGGAAGTACTTAAATAATGAACGGAATGATTATTATTTGCATATTGAATACCAT